GAGGTCTATGCTCTCAGCGGATACAACCTGGTCACCATGCGCGCACTTGAAGAGGGGTTACCGATCTTCCGTCCGGTCACTTGGAAAACACGCGCCCGTTATCTGGGGCTGCACTTCGGACCAGACTCGGGTTTTGCGTCTTGCACGGATGAGCTGTTCTCGGCTGGCCAACGGGCCATGTTTGCTCTGCGTAACAAGCTGCGCCGGCAGGGTCTGCTGCTACCTAGCGTCGGCATGAAGTGTTTCAATGCGCAAGTTCGTTCTGTCTTATCATACGGCTCGCAGGTGTGGGGGGCTGACCAGGTTCTCGCGATGTTGGAAAAGGGCTATCCGGCTAACGAGGCACCGCGGTCATGCTATTTCGATGTGGCTATACGAGACCGCATGGTCAAGCTCCAAATCTTTTTCATGAAACAATTGGTAGGGACTTCTGTACCACCCCTCCAGCTTCTGTTCATGGAGCTAGGTCAGATGCCGCTACAGCTGCACTGGGCTGAATCCGTATTTCGCTTCTGGAATAGTTTGGTGGAGGACACTAGTAGCGTATACCACAGCGCCTTTCGTCAGGAAATTCGTTTGGCGTTAGTAACGGATTTACAGTTTGATGGTTGGGGATCCAAAGTCATTCGTATCCTTAACCACTTAGAGCATGACTGGGGTGAGGAGGCAGTCGGGGGAGGCATTGATATGAGGGTTAGACGTTACTCGGCTTGCAAGCTTGATGTCGAAGCGCTGATGGATACCCTTAGGACACGTGTCAACGACGACTGGGCGAATGATAGGCTAGCTGTGGACCCTAGAGTTTTCGTTACGGACGGTAGGAAGCCCGGCGTGAAGATGGGCCGCCATAAGCACTGGATGGGGCCACCGAAGCCGTACGCGGGTTATATCCCCCCGGCGCATCATCGTGCCCTAATTCGCTTTCGTTTGTGTGTCTCTGACCTGGCGGTTAACAGTGAGAGCAACAGGGCTAGGGAGCACCGCGTGTGCGCTGTGTGTCGTAGTAATGGTGCTATTGAGGATGAGAAACACTTCTTGGTAGAATGTCCGGCGATTATGTCTGCGCGTCAGAAGATCTGGGACCTCGGTGTGCCCGTCAATGCGAACATCCGTGATATCATGCAAGTGGATGATCAGCGTGGTCTTGCAAAGGCTATTTTTGAGATGTTTCGCTCCCGGCATGAGCACCTAACTACCTAACTTTCTCGGCGATAATAGGCAATTGTGTTTCAGAGTCAAATTGACGCTGTTCTTTCTCATAAACACCCGTTTTCTTCTTGCGTAAAACTTTCCTTTTTTTGTTTGTTTGCTTCGTTTACTTTTTCTCTTTTTTTCTTTTCCCTATCGACGGCGCTGTCAAAGCGGTTCATGAGCCTCCGGGTTCGTTTGGGCCGTACGAGCTCGCTGAAGCTTGTAACATCCATCCATCCATCCAGCAGTGATTATATCCATAAGTCATCGGCGCAATAATGATAGCATCATATAGCAACAGAAAAGTGTACTCTGCGGGGTGTCGTTGGAGCGAGGCCTTCGGCAGATGGCTATGTGCCAGGAGGATGATATCTATTTTGGAACCGAGTAATTTAGATGTTATTGTTATAAAATTATTATTAGTTGTCTTTTGTGAAGAAAATTCATCTGAGGCGGAGTCTTGCACAGTTAGCAGTGCCTCGACCGCGACCGCGTCGGGACGCTTAAAGCCCGCACATCCTTAACAATACTTTAAAATTATACGAGTGCTTGTTGACTTCAGATCGTGAGTATATGCGCTCTCACACATACAGGTCTTGTTTCCGTACTGACGGAGGTACACATGGATGACAGTCTTGGACTAGAACGCAGATCGGTTGTACTGAGCCATCGACCTAAGCGTTTTGCCCTGATACAAACACGATATAATCCGTGCGGGTACATTTCCGATCAAGAAGGTGACAATGACTTATGCCAAGTTGCGGTCCAAATGCTGCGATGCACCGATGCAGCCTAATGTACAGGGAAAAGGTATGTTACGTTATTCTATATCTGATTTTAAAGATGCTGGTTGTGATATAGGAGTTCCATCATGCCGTCGGAGCTGGGCGCTGCTGGACTCTGACGAGAAAGCTTTATCACTTTTCCGACCGCCGGCTTTCAAATTATCAGTGTCAGGACGTTTCGAGTGAGCCTCGGGTTCAGGTGAGGTGCGGGAATGTGCGCCTCTCCTAAGTGGCTATGTCCATGCGTGGAACGATTAAACACGGACCCGACCTCACGCACCACATGGAGGCCAATGACGATTGTCGTTAGCTTTTAAACCCATATTGATGTCATTTACAGCTTCTATAATAACCTAAGACCCGGTTGTATGCCGCGCGGCGAGATAGACATGCATTGGCGAACCGTTTGGCAAATTTGCATTTGTCACCAAGACACTAAGGCGCGCCAATCGCTGGTGTTACAGCTTATAGCTAGTCGTTCCGAGTTGATGGATCAATGTCCGTCCTGTGCGTGGCTCGGAAGTCCACGTCTGTATGGGGATCCATCTCTTCTGGCACAGCGATAACAGATGTTGCGGTTGCTCGCAAACTTCAATGAAATACATTCTAACTTCATTTATCTCTGCGATGACTGGGGTGTGGCCAGTTAGCATTGCTTTCGCTTCCAGCGTGCACATAACTGCATGACCCTCACTCAAATGCTCCGGCGTCCCCCTTTCCCTGATACACGTATGTCCTGCGCATGGAGCCACTCTAAGGCGCAGCGTGCCACAACTCGCAGCCCGGCCGGCCCGCTTGCACCTTACCAAGATGAGCTGGAGCGCTTGCATCTGGCGATTGTGCAGCAAGTGCGCGGGCAAGGGGTGGAGGTAGCAGTGTTTGGTTTGCCTCAGTGGGCCTTGAACTTGGCAATCTGTCGGAGTGTCAGCATAGCTCAGTGATAGAGCCCCACACGGTGACATGTCACCTCAAGGGAGGTCGTGGGTTGGAATCCCACTGCTGACGCCCTAGCTAGGCAAGGAACGTGGTAAGATGTAGGAGGCAGTAGATCAAGAGCCAGTTGACCCTATTTACATTCTTTGGAAGCACGTAAGTTAACAGTTTACCTTCCCTTGCCACAAAGCCCCTGGGTGGTGTGCGGAGAGGTGCGCTAGATTGTGCTGTTTGGCTGGTAGCGACAACATGTTGAGATACGCATGCCGTGATATTTTAGATCTGGTGCACGCAGGCTGCCTAAACACTCCTGACGTTGGGACTTTGGGCAAGGAGAGGTGGCCACCCGGTTGGCTCACGAAGACCAAGTTAGGTGTGGACCTAGGCCGGTGTCAGGCCTATTCATGCGGACTACCCTCCCCTTAAAGGCGACGCAGCTCATATTGGCAGCAAGCTGGGGGCTGTGGCTGGCTCCCGTCCGCACGAGTGATTGTGTGAGAGTGGAAATTAGTTACGTAGGTAGGTGTCAGGCCTATTCATGCGGACTACCCTCCCCTTAAAGGCGACGCAGCTCATATTGGCAGCAAGCTGGGGGTTGTGGCTGGCTCCCGTCCGCACGAGTGATTGTGTGAGAGTGGAAATTAGTTACGTAGGTAGGTGTCAGGCCTATTCATGCGGACTACCCTCCCCTTAAAGGCGACCCAGCTCATATTGGCAGCAAGCTGGGGGTTGTGGCTGGCTCCCGTCCGCACGAGTGATTGTGTGAGAATGGAAATTAGTTACGTAGGTAGGTGTCAGGCCTATTCATGCGGACTACCCTCCCCTTAAAGGCGACCCAGCTCATATTGGCAGCAAGCTGGGGGTTGTGGCTGGCTCCCGTCCGCACGAGTGATTGTGTGAGAGTGGAAATTAGTTACGTAGGTAGGTGTCAGGCCTATTCATGCGGACTACCCTCCCCTTAAAGGCGACGCAGCTCATATTGGCAGCAAGCTGGGGGTTGTGGCTGGCTCCCGTCCGCACGAGTGATTGTGTGAGTGGAAGTAATTAACACAACCGAATTACCATCATGACTCCTTGTAAAGCCTCCGCGTACGCAGCCTCCATTCATGGCGGCGGCATCCTTCCCTCCTCGCACATCCCCCCTCGCTCATGTCACCTTGCATCCTTCACCCAAGCAACCTGAAGAGAAAGCAACGCTAATGACTTTCCTCCAAAACGCTCCACACAACAACGTGGACATGTATGCAACGGTTGACTTTCTCCAGATTTATGGAGGGTTAGGCGGTAGTGCGTGGACCCGCTGCGGGGTAATGATGGCGTAACTCTACGGGCGGTTTGCGACAATTCCGGCGGGCCACTGACCGACCCATTGGCGCTAGATCTTCCCCCCGGGTGGCCGCTCCGCCCAGCGGAGAAGCACAATAACAACAGAAGAAGTAACAGTTGGGGCAGCAGTAACCTTAAGGAACAAGGATAGGCATATGTGGGGGGGGGTTGTTACGTCATGCCCATCTGATTTCGTAGTATTGCGTTATATAAGTGTGTGTGTTATACATGGTTGGGTGTGTTTGACCCCATACCTGTAAAACTACCCATACGGACCGAAGCGTTATGTACACGCCAAGTAGTCGAAGCCGGTTCAGCAGCAAGCTAGGAGTTGCTTGCCCTCATGGCACGGTGCGTGCTTTGTCGACCATTGTGGATCTACCTGAATGGCTTTAAAATCAAACAGATTGCCTGCCTGCGAGCAGGGAACCTTTTTTACGGTCGGTAACTGTGAAAGGCGGTGCACGACTGGTGTGCGTGCTTCTCATAACGAAATAGAATAGATCAGCCGAGAGATTTCCCAGGTGCGGATATCGACCTGCTCCGTCAAGAAACGGTCGCTGTGGGGAATTGGGCCGTGGGATTGAGATTTGATGAAAAGGTTGAAGGTGCGTCCGCCTACTTGCGCTATAATAACCGTCGTGGGCCTGTTTAGGAGCGGTAGCAACCGCAACACCTAGGCGCCTCCGCTTGCCTCCGCCTGTGGGGCGACGGGGCGACCGTCTGCAATACTAATCCTTAAGAAAGTAGTACTGCTGTGTACCGCTGTGCCACAGTACCCGCTGCAAAACGAGCCGTTTGGAGCTGTCAGTTGCCCGCCCTCACATATCGCATATGTACCTCCGAATCTGCAAACCCACGACCCTTGGAAACGTAACAGTCAGAAAACGTTAATATACTGCAAAACCAAACAGGAGACTTAGTTTCCTGCGGGATTCATGCAGACAAACCAACCAGTGGTGTTTTTGTATTAGTATTGTTGATGTGTCCGCGCCAAGATCCTCCCGACGCTATCCGTGGGTCATTTGCACATATTTGGATTGACATACCTAGGATTGTTGAACATCCTACAGCAGCACCATCCACCATTACCACACTGTACTGCGCCCTATAAACCGCAAGTCCAAGGTGGTTGAAAATATGACTTCTACATCCCACCTCATCCTTCACGCAGGCGCCTACAGCAGCAGCAGCTGCGGCGGCTGCAGCTACGTACTCCGGGACTTCGGTAAAGCTTAGTCCCAGCACCAGCTAGCTATCTACCATCACCTTCACCTCCGGCAGCGCCTCCACTGACACACGCCTCTTATCATGCATGGACATCGCCGAACCTGACCGTCTTAGGTGGTGCTTACAGAACTGATGAATGGACAAAAAGCGCGGGGCAACGACTGTCGCACTGTGTGGCCGTGAAGCGCATATCCATCGATCCCACTTGCAGTGGCAGCATGACTTTTGAATACGTCGGTATCTTTGTGTAGCAGCCTAGCCATACGAGTTTTGCCTGTCGGGACCGTCATTTTCCAACCATCTAGCCAAATCACTGGGGCCTTACCACCTGCCGCATAGCCGTTACCGCGTTCTTCACCAAGACCTTAACTTCCCCTCAGAAACAGAGGCCACCTCAGCCTCCTTACTCCCCTGCAGGCAGGCCCTCCCGCTACATACAACATTAGCAGCATGTATGTATTCACCTGGCCAACAGCAGCCACCGCCCCGCAGCCGCAACCCGCGAAACCCGACGTGCGCGGCCGCGGCGCCGCTCCAGCACGTGCTTTCCTTAGTGGGCTGGGCTCGCTTGTGGGGTGGCGCTACCGGCTTGCGGGGGCTGGGCTCCTAAGGTCGGCTACCGACAACACCGGCTATCTAGAGCATGGACGTGCGTTCGCAGGTCGTCCATGCATTGAGATCGTCTGGATAGTGCATATGAATCATAACGTCCAATTATACAAACATGCGCATGTATAAGAGCAGCGTCCTGGCGAATGTTTGCGGAAGACGCAGCTAATAAGCCTGGCGGACGTCGTTTGCCGTGCCGCTAGTTTGTCCGTGGCGTCGATCTGTGAAAAGATTATTACATTAATATTGCGAAGACTGTTGGGAGTACACGTCTAATGGCGGGTTTGTTTTCATTTGTCCTCTGCAGCAGGGTGTGCCCTTGTCCCTCTTTGTCTGGCCTGTTGTTTTATGCCCAGGCAGGCAGTGGTTTGCTACACGTTGCTACACGATCACTAACATATAATAGAATACGTAAGTCTAATTCATTTTTTTCCAGGAAGAAAGCTCATCCGGGGCAGATCCTTGCACAGTAGCTGTGCTTCAATCGCGTCGAAGAGCCCTTACCCTGCCCAGGAAAACTTGAAGAGTTATCATTTACGTGCTTCATATCAAACCATGTTGAATCTATTAGCTACATGAGCATAAGCTCTCTCACACAAATTGACGTAGGTACATATGGATGACAGTCTTGGACTAGAACGCAGATCTGTTGTACTGAGCCATCGACCTAAGCGTTTTGCCCTGATACAAACACGATATAATCAGTGCGGGTACATTTCTGAGCAACAAGGTGACAATGACGGATGCCAAGTTGCGGTCCAAATGCTGCGATGCACCGATGCAGCCTAATGTACATGGAAAAGGTATGTTACGTTATTCTATATCTGATTTTAAAGATGCTGCTTGTGATACAGGAGTTCCACCATGCCGTCGGAGCTGGGCGCTGCTGGACTCTGACGAGAAAGCTTTATCACTTTTCCGACCGCCGGCTTTCAAATTATCAGTGTCAGGACGTTTCGAGTGAGCTTCGGGTTCAGGTGAGGTGCGGGAATGTGCGCCTTCCTAAGTGGCTATGTCCATGCGTGGAAAGATTAAACACGGACCCGACCTCACGCACCATCTGGAGGCCAATGACGATTGTCATTAGATTTTTATGTATCTTTAGAAGTTACTGTTTTGTTGATAACCTTGATACATTTATCTTCTGCCGCGCGGCGAGATAGACATGCATCGGCGAACCGCTTGGCGAACTTGCACCTGTCACCAAGACACTAAGGCGTGCCGAGCGCTAATGTAACATCTCATTGCTGTGATGCCTAATTATTGGACTAATTGCCTCCCTGTGCATGACTTGGAAGTCCATGTCGGTAAGGAGATCCACCTTTCCTGGCACAGCGATTGCGGTCGGCTCGCATTGCTCGCAGACCTCACAAGTGTATTTTTAATTATACTTCTACCGTTCACGATAATGCGGCCAGTTAGCATTGCTTTCGCTTCCAGCGTGCACATCACTGCATGACCCTCACTCAAATGCTCCGGCCTCCCCCTTTCCCTGATACACGTATGTCCTGCGCATGGAGCCACTCTGAGGCGAAGCGTGCCACAACTGGCAACCCGGCCGGCCCGCTCACACCTTACCAAGATGAGCTGGAGCGCTTGCATCCGGCGATTGTGCAGCAAGTGCGCGGGCAAGGGGTGGAGGTAGTAGTGGTTGGTACGTCTCAGTGGGCCTTGAACTTGGCAATCTGTCGGAGTGTCAGCATAGCTCAGTGATAGAGCCCCACACGGTGACATGTCACCTCAAGGGAGGTCGTGGGTTGGAATCCCACTGCTGACGCCCTAGCTAGGCAAGGAACGTGGTAAGATGTAGGAGCCAGTAGATCAAGAGCCAGTTGACCCTATTTACATTCTTTGGAAGCACGTAAGTTAACAGTTTACCTTCCCTTGCCACAAAGCCCCTGGGTGGTGTGCGGAGAGGTGCGCTAGATTGTGCTGTTTGGCTGGTAGCGACAACATGTTGAGATACGCATGCCGTGATATTTTGGATCTGATGCGCGCAGGCTGCCTAAACACTCCTCTGATGTTGGGACTTTGGGCAACCGGCCGGGCATGAAGACCTTTGCATGGTGTGAATGTTGGTAGATGTCCGTCCCTATCCATGCGGACTAACTGCACCCACCCTGGAGGCGAAGCAGCTCATATTGGCAGCACGCTTGGGGTTGTGGCAGGCTCTTGTTCGCAGGAGTGATTGTGTGAGAGTGGAAGTGCTGAACGTAGGTAGGTGTTGGGCCTATTCATGTGGACTACTGCCGCCCCGGCTGTTGCACTGCTGGTGATGGCAGCAGGCTTTGGGGTGTGGCTGGCCACGTCTGCACGAGTGATGGCGTGTGTGGATGACTTCCAAGCTTATCCATAATTAAACATGCCCGAGTCAGCTGATGATGCACGCCCAACCAAGGTGCCCTGCATCTCCCTCGGGATTCGCGGCTTCTTTATGGCATCTGGTAAGCTCCTATCATGCAAGTAGTATAGTAGTGGCGCTATGAAAGTACCCGGGGAACTGATGCGGAGTTTACACCTGTGCAGAGAAATCCCCAGTCGCTTCTACTCCTGCCGCTAACGGCAAAGCTGCTGAACATCTTTCAGTGAACATTGACTGTAAGTTTCGAAAAGGTCGCTGCAAACTTCAAATGTTTTGTTGACCGACAGTCTTGCCGTCGTTTTACTATGAGAGTAGCCAGAAAACTAACCAGCAATCGTTGTTATAGCCAAGGTGGGCGACTGTGTTCTGCCTGATGAGAGTGGTGATGAGGGCAGTGTGGACAGCGAAATCGCTGAGGCCTACTACCCTTCTGATAACGAGGAGGTCGAGAGTGTTGCAGGTGATGAGGAGACGGACGATATGACGATGATGATGATGTGGCTGGTGTGGTGGAGGCGATTGCTGCAGAGGTGGATGAGGAGCGGCGCCTCCTTGGCTTTGGGTAAAATCCTTGCTGAAATATTTCTCCCAGGCGCCATGCTCCAAAATAAATACCTGTTAATTCAGCCGTCCTAGCATATTACGGTAGAATCCAGCTAAACTTTACCCCGAAAACCGCTTCAGGCCGTTTCGGGGTGCCCGAAAAAGTGTCAGGTTGACAGGGAAGCTTTCGGGGACGGCCCTGATAGGTTATTCAGAGGGTTTGGGGCACGACCGAAATTTTTGGGTACCCTGGTGAAGAACCCTGGCTGGCAGTGCGTTATCAGTCTTGGTAGAATATCGAAGGTAGGACGTCTTGGCCATTAATTTGGCAGTTGACTGAACATCTCGATACCTTGCAAGGACATGAGGTGTACGTGGCCCTGGCCATGGCATCTCCACCTCCTTTGATGCCACCTTGCACCCTTACCCCAAGCCAGCTGAGCGCCGCATCTTTTCCACCGCAACTCCCCCAGCCCATTCAACCCCCTCTTCCTCCTACCACGACCCTCCCCTCAGCCTCCTCATCCTTCACCCCCACTTCCTCCTCCCCCATCTTGTACCCTCTGGCTGTTCCGTGCTCCAGCTATGTTCATGGCAAGTGACTCTGGGGCAACTACACAGTTACGTGCGCACAAACAGTTGCATGGGAAATGAACCTGTGCGTGGACATGATTGGACCACCCGTCCGTGCGTTCGCCACAGAAGAATAAAAGCATTGTTGTGACTGTCGGACGTTATTCCGGTCAGACCTCTCTACTGTTATCTTGAGGACTATTTGTCGTACTTACGGAACTGTACTTTGGTTCCTTTTAAGTGGCGGCGGGAAGCCACATTCGTTAGTTGCTTGTAACCGAAAGTGCAGACCACGCTCCGAGCTTAAGTAGCCGTATAGCGTAAGGAAAGGAAAGGTGAGGACGGCCCATGGACGATCCGTGTTAATGCCGGGCAATCATTCGGCACTGGCCTACCTAAAAACAGTTGTAGTGACACGGCCATCTCGTACATCTCCCCTAACGGCCAGCAGACATAACGGGTGGGCCGCCGGGTGGATATGACTGGCAATATTGCCAGTAATACCCGAGTCCAAATGGGGTTAGTTTCCAGCATTCCAGACATACCAAGGATTGCACGGTTTCGAAGGTGCTGTTGGCCCCTAGCGGCGGGTCGTGCCTAGCCCCCGGAGCAGGGGATCAGTGAGCTGTGCGCGTGCTGCGCAAGGCGGAGGACGAGCGACACATCCTTCCAGAATGCACAGCTTATTCTGCATGTCGTGAGAGCTCAAACGTAATCCTTAACAACGACTCCGATATGAAGTTGATTATGATGGACAGCGAGCAAACAAAACTGCCCCATCTGGTATATGGCATTTGGCGTACGCGCTCATCTCTACGTAGGCGGTCATAGTTGACCGTGTGGATATTGGTCGCGTAGTAGAACTTTCTGCGTTGAATTACTAACTTCTGGCTTTTAAGCTTCTGGGCCGCCGGCTCGTATGGGCACTCGTTACACCTCTCTGGGTAACGCAGCCGAGATGTAACACACACACACACCAACACACACACACCAACACACACACACCAACACACACACCAACACACACACACCAACACACACACCAAAACACACGCACCCATAAGTTAATCGTCAGGGGAGCTTTGAATCATCTCTCACGCACCTCTCACGTAGCACAGCACAGCACAACACAACGACACCGGAGACACCACAGCGGTGGGGGCGGTGCAGGCCGTGAACGGCGGCCCACCGCGTCCACACACCCCTCCCTCCTGAGCGCCGAACGGAAGGAACAACCGCGGGAACAACACAACAATCATGGAAACGAGTAATAAACAAGGGACAAGTACCACCGCCAATAAACAACCACTATCGCTGTTACTGCTGTGCCGCTGCTGCTGAGCAGCTGCACCCCGATCTCCGTGCCCTGCTCCCTCTGTCTCACCCCCACAGATATATAGCGTTAAGCTGTTTTGCTTCTCATTGAGCTGCTGGATGATGTAGCTGCGAACCAGGTAGGTAGGTAGGTAGGTAGGTAGGTACCACACCACACCACACTGCAGCCACGCGACTCGCACCGCGCCGCCACATCGCACAGCAGCCACCCGGCGCCTGCTCCATGACTGGGGACTCACTCCTCTACCCCCTCTCCACCACTCCACCACCCTTTGGCACACCCCACCACCCAACTACACACCAGCCCCCCTCCCCCTCCCCACCCTGGCACCCCTTCCCAACTACCAAGAACACTACCCCCCCGCCTCACACCCCAAAACCCCTCCTCTCCGCCACCGCCAATATCCACAGCTCAAGTCGCCACCACTAGACCCGGGCGCCGGCCGCCACCGCCTCTCTTCTTACCGCCACCTCCCTCCCCCTCTTCCCACTTCCCACTATCCGCCTCCCCCTCCCCCTCTTCCTCCTTACCGCTGCCCCCTTCCCCGGGGCCACCCCCCTCCCCCTCCCCGCCCTTCCCGCCCTCCCCAACAGCCTCCCCCGGCAGCTGGGTCTTGGCTCCGGAACCATGTCTGAACCGGTCGATGTTTCGAAGCTCCTGACTCATGAAGGGTCGCTTACCCAACAACCGCTCCACATCGTCCAAACTCAGAACCTGAGGAGGGAAGGAAGAAAGGGCGAGGAGGAGGGAGCAGGGGGTTGGGGGGGGTGGGGAAAGAAGAGGGGAGATTGCGACACGAGGGTGAGGAAGGAATACAGGAGGGGGGAAAAAGAGGGCAGGCAATCAAGTGTGTTTTGTGTGGATGCATTGCGGGGTCCGTGCCTGATGCGAGACGGCCGTGCGGCTCAACCACGATAACCACAACTACAACTACATTCAGTACACACAAAACACACACACGCACACGGTAAACGCACAGCCCTCACCTCCTTATGGAGCAGCTCCGCTGTCATGGCCTCAATGTATGTCCGGTGCTTCTCTACGAGAGCCACCGTGCGCTTGTAAGCCATGTCCACGAAGCTGCGGACCTGGAGACGGGAGAGGGGGAAGAGGGGAAGAGAGGGCGCCGTGAGACTTACATTACACCGCCTTATAGTCCATCCTAATATAAAATATATAATACATATCATAAATAATATTATAATATAAATATTATATATATATTATATATAATATATATATTATATATATATATTATATATATTATATATAATATGTAATATATAATATTATATATAATATATTATATATTATAATATTATATATTATATATAATATTATAATATTATTATAATATTATTATATATGTATATATATTTCATATCAATAAAGGCGGCGCAGGCGCTGCGCTGCACGGGTCGGTCTTCCAAAGACATGATAATCGAAACACATGTGAAAAAAAGTGTTAATAGTTGTGTTTACTGTATACCTATATAGCTATATCAACACATTTGTAGATAGGGGGAACGCCCTAGGCCCCCACCCCCCCCACCCACCCTCACCTCCTCGTCAATCAGTCGGGCAGTCTCGTCCGAGTACGGCTTATCAAAAGCCTCTCTGTCCATGCGGAACGACACCAGGCCCACCTTCTCGTTCATGCCGTACACTGCCACCTGCGCCAGCACGGCATGTGACCGTGCAAAGGGGACGTGGGTCGGTGGTCGGTGAGGAGGGAGCCAGGGAAATAAGACAGCAATCCTCCCCACCCCTCCCACCGTCCGTATTAGCTCCGCACCCCCCATCCCGCCCTCCCTCTCCCTCCTTTCCCCCCCTCTCCCTTTTCCCCTCTCCCTCACCCCCTCTTCCCCCCTTCCCCCCACCTGCGAATAGGCCATCTGCGTGACCCGCTCCAGGTCGTTGACGGCGCCCGTGCTGATCTTGCCCAGCA